GGACTAGCTCCACTTTGTTTAAGGATGAAAGATTCCTGCATTTAGCCCTCATTCGTTAATCATAACAGTGGCACAGTGGAATTTGAACCTCTGTGTGCTGGACCCTTCTGACGTACATGAAATACGGGATTTTTCCTCTAATAAATATTCCTCCCTCAACACACATTTCTCCTTGTTATCTCTAGATAAGAAACTGATCAAGCAGATGTAGCAGCATCAGTTCTCTGTGACAACATCCTTGCAACGTGATGTATCACAAGATCATCATCAGAGCAGGGCGCATAACTGATTTATTTATTTATTTTCTTTTTTAGTTGAGAAAAAAATCAGGCAATGGAAAAATTTGTGTCTTATTTTCAGTTTATAGTCCTTTCAGCCCTTAAAAATACATATTTAAAGACCTTTCAGAGAGTTTTGGAGCAGGACAATGGGGCTTTTAGCAAAGCTTATGGTGAATGGAGAGCGGGCAGGACCCCCCAGTCTGTGGATGAGGAGGTCGAGGCACCATGAGGTGAAATGAATTGTGTCCAAGCTCAGAAAACATGAAGAGCTGGAAATAGCAGCCAGGAAGCTATGCCAGCGCCTTCCTTGCAATCACCAGACCACATTCTGTGTAATAACAGAGTGGACACAAACAAACACACATTAAGCCCATTCTTTCCTTCTCTTGGGACGTGGATGAATCATATTCTGCTGTTGCGGTTGATAAAAGTCTTCAGAAGTCAGAGAGGGACCCAAATTCTCATTTCATTCTTTTTTGGAAGAACTCGTAAAGGCTGGTTTATAAAACCTCTTGGCAACTTCTTCTGAGTTTCCAGACCCCCTCATCGCTTCTACGGTGCCAAACATCTTCCCCTTCTCTGGAGATCACACTTCAAGTTGCCTCAAGACATGTCAGCGGTGGCCTGGATACTCTCCATTTCAGCTCATGAAAATTTTTGCACCAATTTGAGTCTCGGTAGTGTGGAGGACAAAGCACTAAAGCAGCACAGTGCATTTTCACTTAGACGGGAAGGTCTGCTGAAGGCAGCAGCGTTACGTCGCACAAGACAAGCGCAGGGTTTGGCGTGAGGATTGCAGAGGGCTGAACTGTTGCTCAGATGACAGTGGACAGGAATTTGGAGGCAGAATGAACCTAATCCATCTGATCACCAACAGGAGAGGGAAGTGCCATCTAACATTCATTGCTCCAGTCAAAAGGGAGGCTGGAGGAAAGCGACTGAACTTGTTCTTCCTGGAGGTAGTGGCACAGGCACAGGGTAAATACACACCTTGACATATTTGCTACAAGCCTGGAGCCCTGCATTGAGCAGCTGAGGCAAACGATGTTTTCTCCACAGCTTCCCAAGACCTCAGCACCAGCATCTTCCTCCTCTCACCATGCCTGTCCCAGGCTCCCACCCCGACTCTCTCACAGTGGTGCACAGCCCCCAGGATAACTCTGATGGTCCCAAAACAAGGTCCCCATCCCTCCAGCCTCGTAGCTCCCACTCTGGGCAGCAATGCCACCTCGCCAAGGGCACTGGGCAGAGCATTTTCTGTGGGGAGCCTCCGACTAATTCCCCAGGGGCAGCCTTACTTTTGTAGCTTTCCAAATGCATTATCAAATGCAGGTTATTTTTAGGCTCGTTTCCTAAGGAAACAAGATTAATATGATCACAGTGCAGGCACGCATGCGTGAGTGCTGTGTGTGAGACAGTGTGCCTCTGCGTTTGCTGTCCCCCATGTATTTTGAATTCTTTGCACAATTTCAGCTAAGTTTGATGGAACACTATGAGGTCTCAAAGAGATCCCTTTCTGACAGAGTTGGGCAAAATAGTGAACTGGACAGAGGAGAAACTTAATGTAAGTACTTCCAGCAAATAAAGGCTAATATCCTCACTAGACCAACTCCCTCCAGCTTTCCCTTCCCGTACATTCAGAGCCTTTGCCCTTGTTGCACCAGCGCTGGGAGGGAAACACAAGCCACGGGAGCTGCTTGTAACAAACCCCACAGCCCCCAGTCCTTGTGACTTGGGGGATGTTGAGTGGGCAACCCTTCTCAGTAGGCACACGAGGGTGTTTTATGGAGTTACAGCCCACAGTGGGGGCACAACTGCCCGCACACAGCCTGCCTGTTATTTGCAGCTGGCTGCTCACATTTGCTCATGTCCAAAAGCCTTTTTAACAGGGTCCCTAATTCCTCCTCTGCCTATGCTGGCATGAGATAAGGCTTTGTAAGACTGCCACCAGGATTTTGGCTGGGGAGAAGCACAGAAGTTGATACAGAGAGTTTTTCCTGTGTCCCTTGCTTCTCTGCAAGTCCCTCGTGGGCCAGGATGGGTGAGAGGGAGGATGGTCTGAAGCTTTGATTATGTTTGGGGTCGTGGCATCTTCTGGAGATAGAGAGTTGTAGCCCAACAGAGCTGAAAATCACTGGGAATTTTTCAATGACCTTGCAATCACATTGGATCAGGCCTCCAGAAGAGTGAGGAGAAATACACTGAATTTCATCCTGCCCCAACCCTATCAACCAACAGGCTCATGGTGAATAAATTTGCCCACAGGACATTTTCAGAGAAGATGTTTCAACTACCTATTGAGCAAACCAATCTCCATCATCCATCCATCCATCCACCCCAGCCAGAATTTTGGTTAGGTTCAATAACCAGCTATAATCATTTTACACAACAGTCTGCTGAGGAGGAATTTGGCTCTCCAAGTTTTCAATGTCTTTTTCTCTTAAGTTATAGCATTTGCAGGTGAAACAAAATTTTGAGCTAAAAAATGTTATGATGTTAAAAACATTCCCTATTTCCCTTTCCTTCTTTTTCCTATTTTTTAGTTTGAGGCATTTTTTGTTGTTCCTTTCTATAATCTCAAAACACTTTATCCCATTTTTAACTTTCCCCTATCTATAAATATATACCACAAAATATGCACATGTGAATGTTCCTGGTTTAATGTGTGAAAACTTAGCCTTCGCAGCCCTGATCCATATCACTAATAATCACAAACCCTGATTTCACAGGACGCTGCTGAATTCAAGACACCTCCAGTAATTGCTCTCACCTGCTTACCTGCAAACAGAGTTGCTGGCAGATAGCCCTGCAATTTATAGAAAAATAAGCAAACAGCCCTGATGGGACATAAGAAAAAGCTGATCCATGAGCTCATTTTAACGCTAAGGCTGTTACCTCCACTGGCTGCTCTTTGCATAGCCATGCCACATTTGCTTTTTCCATGCCAGGGCATTCTTCAGGTAGCCCTTGACTTGCTATAGCAGGACTGATACCTATGGATTTATTCTTCCAAAATACTGACAGACCCAGGGAACAGCATCCTGGCTGGTTTATTCAGAGAGACATCCCATCTCTAACTGTACTTTCAGTGACCGTATCACACATCTGTGCAAAGACACTGCTGGGCTACAAGAAAACAGCAATGAGAAACCCAAACAGAAAAATTCCTTGGACCTAAGTTCCCAGACTCAGTGTGGGATCTGATCTTTAGGTGGGATAGAAATTGTATCTTCTGCCCTTATAAAATTTGACAGGTACATGTAAATAAACTCATAGATAAACTCGGGTCAGCTGCACTGTCACAGAAAGTTGGATTTTAGGCTGCCTTCATCAGACTCCTAGGAAATGGGCAAATATTGAGATGTTGTTTGCAGTCATTGTATTTTCCCATCTTTACAGAAAACTGGCCTTTTTAAACAAACACAAAAGAGAGAGATTCTCTCTTCTCATGCCTGGCTTTACCAACACTAACAAAGAGGCTATCACAACAGGCTAAGCTCTTTACAATTCCGCCGGGTGTTATTCATACCTTGGGAAAGGGGAGTTCAGTCCCTACAGCTCAAGGATATAAAATTATCCCAGGAACAGCAATATGGACCAAACAAGCGGAATTTTTCAACAGACCCTGAGCAAATAGTCTGGGGCAGAAAAGTGACCTTGTTTCCATCCCTAATTCCTGGTCTTTGCACAGCCTTGGCCAGCTGTGGGGCTCTGTGGCTACGCATTGCCACGTGGACCTCGAGGTGTCCCCCAGCCAGCCCTGACATAGGTGCTAATATGGGTGAAGAGAGAGCAGAAAGGACTCCAACAAGCAGTGGCCCTTTGGACAAGGATCTGCGGTCCTTGAGCATCCTGCTCTGTGTCATTACTGCCCCGGGTACCTGAGCCGGCCAAATGAGAGATGATACGTGCTCGCTGGAGCTGGCCTCTCCTATCCGAGCAGCATGGAGATGCACCACCCTGTGGCAACGGAGGCGTGGGATTTGGGGCATGAGCTGGGACAGCGGGAGGATGGCTACAGCCAGGCCAGGCTGGAGGGGTGAAGGATGCCCTGTCAACCGGCCGGTTTGGGGGACCACTTCCACCTCTCACCCAGGGTCTCGCATCTGCCCGTGGTTCCCCGAGCCCACCGAGCCCCTCGGGGCTGCGGTTCATGCTGAGCCCCACAACTGGCCAGCCAGACGAAATGATGCCAGGCCAGTTTGGCCGGGCTGGGGCTGCTGGCTGGCCACGGTCCCCTGCCAAACACCCGCAGGAGCAAAGAGGACCGGCACCTACTCCCACCTCCGCGCCACGAGCGTGCGAAGCGCTTCGTGCACCGCACCGCAGCATCTTCAGGGCCAGCACCCCCTTCCCGTGCCCGGGCTGGGGCTGGGGGTGCAGGGTGGGCAGCCCCCGGTGTGTGTGTCCCCCCCTCCGTGGGACACGCCGGGGGTGCCGGGGTGCTGTAATGCTTTCGCCCAGCCGGGTTAATGGCATTAGAGCCAAATCCTGCTTTGCCGGGGGCTGGAGAGGGGCCCCCCCCGGAATCCCCTGGCCTCGCCTGGCCCCGGCACGGAGCTTCCCGATGGCGGGGGGGG